TCGAATCCGACCTGCGGCCCTTTGCTGCGTGTCATCCCCTCTCTCTCTGCCCCCCTTTCCTGTCTATCTTTGGCTGTCACTATCCAATAAAGGCAATAATCATAGCTGCTAGCATGGCTGTGTGTTTCTCTTTACTTTTTCTCAACTCTCCCAATAACTGTGAATTCTTGGTTAAAGACACATGACCATTACTAGAGTTTAAATACCAAATTACTTTTATTGGTAGTAATTCATTTAAAATTTTGTTTTTTTGACAACACAACTCTTCACAACTGTTGATGGACTTGAAAGTCACTATTTCTGTGCATAAAATATTTTCATTTTGAATAACAAAATGAAAAATTAGTTTCCACGGTACATGTAAAGCTTTACCACCACTACCTTGTCTACTCATTCATCAGTGAAGAATTAAAAATGCATTAGAACACATAAGACAGTGTCTTTCAAACCAAACATAAATACTGTGTTTACTTAGGCCACTGACCCGGTAATCCTAAAATGAAAGCTTTGCCTTTTATCTGGAACCACATGGATGATGATCCCCTAATAGGCTGCGACAACCTAAATGAAACCGTGGTCCAGCGACCTCGCTTCCTTTGATCATTACGACTTAAGGGGCTCCACAGCCAGCCGTCATCGACTCTGTCCTTGACTTTGTCAAAGTTAAATTGTTTGCAATGAGACAATTGTTACCATCAGTGAATAGCATGCAGCTGTGGACCATAAAGGTGATTTTTAAGATACCAGAGTATTAATAACAGGAAGTGTCTTGTGACAGAGGAGCCACGGGTTTGTGTATAACAGTAGGCAAAGCAGGGGTTTAGTAAAGAAGATAAGAAGCATAATATAGGACATTCCTGTCTTGACTGCAGGTTTTATGCCCTCAGGAACAAAGTATTTCAGGTTCCAAGGAGTCATGCCGACAAGCCATCTGCCCCAAAATTCCTTTTTGTCACAGTGTGGCATATACAGCATGTTTTGGTGCATATGCGTCATCCACTCTGCTGTCCTGGTTGTTATGATAATGTGATTAAATTACTTTCCACACAGTTTCAATTCCTTCACTGTCTCAGTATCCATCAGCATATCAAACCACAATCTCCCACACAAAACAGAACTGTACAGTGAATATTCCTAATCCGCTTTGGTTTGTTGATGAGTTTTCCTCAAGTACCCAATAAGCCAAATGTCCTGACCTCAAGGTTCAATTAAAGCAGAAAGTGCTTGCTGTGCACTGCTCAGCACAGATGTTATCGAGTAAAAGATGCTATCGAACGAAAAACCTAAAGGCGATTGGATCGGCTTTTCTCATCCTTCATGCTGTTCCCTCTTGTTATTTTCTCAGTGACCCCTGAGTGCCAGTAAACAAGCAGGGTTCAAGGCCTCATCCGAAGCCAGGGGCAATAAAGATGAGTAATGATTGCCTCTCTCTGTTTTCCCTTTGCAGACAAGCCAGCCTAAATGAGGCAGCCGAGAAGTATTACGGACAAGCAGCGAGCCTGAGACCCAATGTGAGTACAACCACAACTGGCTAATCATCCTCATTACTATTTACCCTGATGGACACTGTGCAATCATAGTCTGGGTGGCTTTCCAATATTATTACTGCCCGGTCAGCCTTGTCACAACGACCTTCATTGTCAGTGGGTCTCAGAAAAGGAGGGCTAAGTTTTTACTAAGCTCAGAGGTTTGTTTGTGTAGCATCCATCACCAACTTCAAAGGACGGGCCAGGGTAAGTAGATTGAAAAGAATAATGATAATAACACTTGGCCAGGGGACTTTGACATCTTGAAAATGAATGGGGTCTTTGAGAGCTTTGACAGGAGAGGTCGAGTTGTTTAAGTGAGGTCCGCAGAGGGAGTAAAATATGTTTGGCATGTGGTCACCCTATTTGTTCCTGTGTCGTGATTAGGAGAAATCAGTTCAGGATTAATGATCAAAATATATCTGGACAATGTTATACAGACACTAAAGTTTGGTTCTGTATGTAAAAACCCCAGTATAATATATACAAACAATGAGAAACAAAAAGACAAACAAAACCTTGAGTATAGCAAAAGGATAAAATTCAAGATTTCCACAGAAACCATGAAATTGAGCTCCTATCCCCCTTTGTTGTTCTCATTGTCTATGTAGCATACCACTTTTGGCAAAGAATTGTTTAACATCTAATTAAACCCAGATGGAAGAAAAATGAAAACATACCTATGAATATTATATTCCATTTCTGCCAGTAGATCCTCCTAAACCCCTAAGTCACCAGTCCGGGCTAATGTACTTGCCCCATAGCCTTAACAGAGCAGGCCAGATATGGCAAAGCGAGGTAGTCTTGCTACCTATTTGGTGCAGTGGCTGAATGATTGCAACACAAATGTCCCCTGCAAACTAAAATCCTTGGAGTTTGGTTCTCAGTTCTCTTAATACTGCACGTCCATGATTCACACTCACATTTACACACTAGTTCACCGAACTTCAATCATTTGGGCCTTGGGAGTTTTTGTGAGGAGATAAGGTTGACCATTGAGAATGCCACTGCCTTGCCGTCCCCTGATCAATATGTACTTCTGTAAAACCGTACTGAGGATGTTTGTGTTCCTTACCGTTTCATTTCAGGGCCAGGTCAGTGTAATTTTCACAATGCTGTTTCTTGGCATCTGCAATTGTACAAACATGCATTTGACGACCACATCCAGACACAGAGGCACTTTTTAGTCCCTACTCGGTCACTTTTGCTTGGATGTCTTTTGCCATTTGTATTGCTTACAGCTGAGGCACAATTATAATTTAGCATCTTCATCCATCTTCTTTACTATTATCCTTTGTACTTTCCGATGCGACTTGACTTAAGCCATGTACCCTGTCCATCTTCATTTGTCATTTCATGCTTTACTGCGGCTTGACTCTTCACTCTCCAAAGGCACTGGTGTTTTATATTAAGCACATATGTTTGCTCGCTCTGAGTGAGCGAGGACAATTCCCTCCATTCAAAGGATTTAGTCCTTTAGTCCTACAATTCCCTCTATCTAGACGAGCTAAATCCTATCGGATGCTTGGTTTGCTTTGGTCGATCTCTGCACCCTTTGACATCTGCCCTTTGAAAGTTTCCCATTCCATTTATATCCTTTACCTAAATGCCAATCTGAAATCATTACGGTCAGGTAATTCCCCAACTTAGCTTTACTTTTAACTCTCACAGTCTTTATAGCATATGTTGCTTTACGGTCTAGGTTAATATGCTCCACATCTGGCCGCGCTTCTGCTGCTACATGCCAGTTTTGGGAAGGGTAGGGAGGCAGAGAGGTTACAGAGCAGCAGGAAATGAGGAAAAAATGAAAGCTTTTGACAAGGGAACATTTTGCAGAGTGTTGCAAGGGTGAGGAAGAATGCAGGAGTAGGGGCATAAATCACAAAAGTCTTAGCTATATGAAGTAGTCGGAGAAAGACTCGGGTGAGGAAAGGTGGGAGCCTACAGGGGGAGAGTATATAGGAAGGAAGCTAAACTCAGGAATTGATAAGTTTTGCATGGACGGAGAGAAAAAGATCTTTCAAGTCTCTGCTGCAGCGGCACTGAGAGGAAAACCAGGAGTCAGTTCATTTTCTACCCAAAAGTCTTTGCAAAGGGTTTCACATGTTACAGCACTCCTCAAAAGGCTTTCAGTAGCTACGAGTATGTTTTTTTTTTTCTGTTTATGTCAGCGTCTCATATACTTTGCCTCTAGATCAGTCTCTCCAATGACAAAGCCTCTTCAGAATTGTAGACCAAATTCACCAACATCTCAACTATCTAAAACCTCCTCTTTTCTGAGTGTTTTTTTGACTCAGACAGGAAATCAAAGGGAAAACGTTCAGTCTATTAGATTATGTGAGGACATAAATTCACTTTATTACCATGTGCTAAAGGGAATGATACAAGAAGCTTGAATTGTCACTGAAGCCATCACCAACAATCAAATCCACCCATGCGATTAAAGATGTACATTAGCTGTTTCTCCCCATGGCAAGCAGGATATTAGTTGACTGTCTTTTATTCATTTAGTGAATCCAAAGACTCTATTTTTTCGGAGTCATGTTACCTTATGAACTGACTGACCTCTTAGTAACAGCAGACTGAGGCCAAGGGTGTAATTTCCTCTTGGGATGAGCAGGACATGTTCCCCTCACTTTTACAGTTCGAAGTTTATTCATTCACTCAAAGACCGCTAAACCACAGAGTCATCTTACTGTCAAACCTCCAAAATCCAGACGGGTCCATCAAAATATTAAAATGCTCATCTTAGTTGCCCCAACTTATTGCCGTGCAATCACAGCATTTGAGCTTTACGCACAGGCAGTAGCGAGTGATTAGCAGGCTTCTTTCTGCCACAGATTTTGACTTTCGGGCAAAACACAAGCTGTTCTGCCTTCTTCTTGGTGGTGACTGTTGCAGCCGGATGCTGCTTGCAAGGAAGACTGCAGAAACCTACAAAGCCTGAAAAAAGTCCCTCAACTCTTGCATTTTTGGGTAAAAAAGTAATTGAGCTGTTTAGATGCTTAAACTGATGGCAGTTCTCTTTGTAGTAAAAATAGAAATAAAACTAGTTTAAGGATTATTGTAGACACTGGAAATGGTATCTAAACGTATTAGATATAACACCCTTGTCATTCATATAAAACACGGACGCACACACACTACTGACATCAAGTCTACACTCTTAACTGAGGCTAATGGATGATTGCAATTCACTTAACACTGGATCCTTACCAACTCCACTAAATGGCATTAACACTAATTTGCCATATACACCTACTTGTCACCGGCATGTAGTTGCTACAGTATTCATGTGTGGCCCCTTCACTGTCACTTTCAACTATGTCCATATGTATAAATAGTTATATTTTGGCTAGCATTATTCCGAGTTGTAAAATTCCCTAACTTGCAAATTGATCCCCCAGCGTTATTTTGCGGTTTGACCCCCAAATGGAGGGTCAAACTGAAGGTAATTTATAGCGCAACCAGCCTCAGAATTACCCCGACCATTAAAGTCAAAAACTCTGCTGCTCCTTTGAACAATGATTGAAACACAGAAAGAAAATCTTGTTTTGCTAGGGGATTAATGTAATTGCACAATATGCAGCTAGTGTAGTAGATTGGTGTCAAGTGACTTTGGAGTCAGTAAACAAGACTAGAAGTGTTTGACATGCCAGCCTTTACTTCAGCCCAAGGCATCTGTAGCATGTTTTGTATGTGTTGACCGGAATAGTTGCTCCTCTCTAAGGGACAATAGGATTACTCCAGAGTCTCTTTGATTTATTCATCAATTTTATTCTCCCTATGAGAAAAGCAGCACGATTGGACAAATTGTTCCCATTGAAATTCTCATGCACGGGACATCACTCATCCAACCTTGACACTGGAAAAACAGAGAGATGTTTTGAGAGTTTAGTGAGTGTACTACACAAGGGTGGAACAGTCTGGCAAAAGAGGGCAGTTCACACAACTAACAGCGTGGACAAAGCAAGATAAATGGCCATACAATCTGAAAGCAGTTATGTTTAGGTTTAAATACTCATCCGTGGTTGCTTGTCCTTGTGTTCAAGAACATAATTGTGGAGTTTGTGGTGTTTATTTATTGTATATTTTTAAAGATACATACATTAACTTAACAAAACGTTTGTTATGCTTTTTTATATTTGGTATAATCACACTGTTTTTCTCTACCACTGCTGTTGTTGTGAAGGGTTCACATTTCAACACATTATTTATAACATTTCATGTAACATTTATAGAAAAACATTATTTTCTAATTCAGAGTGTTGAGTCCTGAGAATAACTCTTGATTAGTTAATAGGCCATGAGAAAGAAATTAAGTCTTTTGGTACAATATATCAGTAAATGTCAAGATGCCATAATCATGTAACATTCAATGTGACAATGATGTATGAGGTGATAATTATAGTGGAAAAAAGTCACAAACAGTGCAGTAAAAGCACATGATTGGCCAATTTTTTCACTAAGACTGTTTCACTAAGACCATTCCTTGTTTCCTATGAGTTACATTTACATAAATTACAATAGTCTCATTCAATAAACCAGTAGCTTTGCTACAGGATTAGACATCTTTTCCACACTTCAAACTTAAATGGAGATCAGATGTGGCCCCTCCCTTGGCCTGGATACTTCATGGTCTTACTGTGATTGCACCCCGGACACATTTTCCTGTACTTCATGACTCACCCACCCATCGCACTGATGATGATTTTGCCCCTTGGCACCAGCAGAAATATACAGTATATTCAACTAGACCCACTTCAAAGTGGTGGTTGCTCTGTCTGACATGACAAGACACAGGGACACACAAAGCAGCATGGTTACCAAACTCCAAACACAGTCTGGGTGATCTGACAAACAGGAACCAATGGCGTGTTACGGTCGGCTGTTTAGCCATTCTGACATTTTCCTTCGTTTTATAAGAACATTTCGTATTTTAATGTGTTTTAAAGCTTTAACTTCCAGAAATAACAACTGTTAAAAGTTTGACTGTTTGGAGTTGCCCAGACAATGATCTAAAACATTTCTGGTCAAATTCCATTTCGTGCTAAATTATGTATATCCCCAAAGTGTGAATAGATAGACTTAATTTGCATTATCTATCTCACCAAACATCCATGCATGGCCTCTGATGTTGTAAAATTTGAATTTTTCATCAAATTATTCTTTAGTGTCAACAAATGGTTGGTGAGTAAATAGTTACTGCCTGTATGTCAGCTGAATCACTGTTTATACTCATTGTACCTTCTTCTCAGTAACAACATAGCCTTGTGTTGCTATTCTTGGACAGAAAAGTGTATATTTGGAACAAAGCTTTAAGCTTCCCAGAGGTGTACTTAGTTTGAAACTGATCTAATCCTAAAATGACTAAGAACTCTTTTTTTTGGTTTCAGTATCCCGCTGCCTTGATGAACCTGGGGGCGATCCTCCACCTCAACGGGAAGCTGCAAGAAGCTGAAGCCAATTACCTCCGAGCACTTCAACTGAAACCGGATGACACCATCACCCAGTCCAACTTGCGTAAGCTGTGGAACATCATGGAGAAACAAGGCCTGAGGACCACGAGCCCCTGAGCTCACCCTGCCCACCTACCTGCCATCTGTATACCAGACCTGGGGAAAGGGACGGCCTACACACTCCTCCTTCACTCTTGTCATCCAGGAGAGATGGAAGAGACTCAGGGAGGATGTTTGCTCAGAGAGGCCATGACTGTGCTGCACAGCCCTCCTAATAACTCCTGAGCTCTGGATACACCTCAGGCCAGCAGCTTTCCTCAGAAGCATTGCTCACACTTTGGCAGGCACTACATGGTATTTGGACTCTTTAGAACTTTCTTCAAAATTAGTGCTCTCACAGGAACCACGCTTTTTGTCTGTTTTTTTTTTTCTCTTTTATAACTAGAGCACTTGAACTTGAAGTGAGATAGGTACATCCTTCAACATTTGTGATGAATTAGGGGTTTTTAAATAAGCAATTTTTGTTCAAAGAGGTGAAATTTATCCCCTAGCAGTGTAAGAAAAAATATAAAAGAGAGAAAAGAATCTCAGAGCACTGCACTGAGAGTATTTTCCATCACCAGTTAATACAGTTCTCAGTTTGATCAGATGTTCTATCTTGATAATGAAGAAAATAAAGGCTATATGAAGAACTGGGTACCATCCAGAATCACCAGATTAATCACGTAAACCAAGTTTAAATCACAAAATTTTCCATTCCCACCCTCAGTGGGTCACCTTATTTTGCTAATGAGATTACACACACTTCATAATGAAGATGTGAAAATTAGCACATCATTTCAAACCATTTGTAGCAGATGTCCTGATATTTGGTGAAAACTTGAAAAAGGGAATTTAATTTGGTAGCCATCATATCACAACAATAGCCTCTAAAAGCTCCCTGAAGGCTGTATTTTGCCGAATACACTTTGTTTTGACAAGAAACCTCAAAAAGCAAAGGAAATGTGACTCCTTTCACGTTGTAATGCCTTATAATAAAAGGTGTGAATCTTCTTTAGCAGTGTACAGTAGCGTAAAGGTGGCATTTTTACCACTACTGCTTCTTGTTCTGCAAAGAAGCCGAGTCACCATAGTAACTTGTTTGTTGAGAACAGTAAGAAGCTATAAATGGAAATATTAAGCTGCCTTCCTGTGGAAGTTACAGACAACAAAGAGGCAGGTACGGTTGTTTTGGTTACACCATCTCCCTACACGCCTGAAGCTTTCGCAGACGAATGTGCGGAGCCAAAACAGGTGAAAGAGTTCTTCTAACCAAATACAAAAGCTATGCCGATGCACACCTTTTCATCACAGAACAATGCACAGACATGGCACGTCTGAGGGAAATGTTTAAATGCCTATGTTTTTGTTGGAATAAAACTAATTTCATTGTGTTTGTATAAATGAATCCTAATATATACCTACATTGTCTATAGTATACAGAAAATCATGCAGCAAAAAAGTAGCCAGACTTGAAGGTGGAAGCTCATATAGTGAGCAAGTTTGGTATTTCCCACATCGTCAAAACTCAGTCTTAAGGTCTCATTTTGTATATATTCTGTGTAATTAACATCTATTTGTTTCTTGTTGTCAGCATACAGTAAGTGAAATGGCACCTTCCCAGACATAAGAATATGTACAGTATGTGTGATCATTTGTTGGTTATTGACCACAAACCTCTTGAATTATCTGTCCTTAGTTTATACATTGTAAGTTATTGCTTTGTGTTACCCTAGCAACAGAACCAGCTGGCACTGTGTTTTTACATGTAAAATTAAGGAATCTAGCAGATATGACGTCCAAATACAGTCGAGTGGCCCATTATAGATAAATACAGAGCTACACCTACAATGGAGGATAAAAATGTTGAATTATGTACTTCACTTGTTGCAGTCACAATGGCATCAACACTGTTCTGTTTTTGATTGTGATGGTCACTAGTGATGTGTTCAGTAAAATAATCCCAGTAATCACATTCATTCCTGCCCCACACCTCACACACCCCATAGTCAAACAGCGTGCTCATGTCTCCTGTGTGTATATAAAGTGTTTATGAACAAACACTGATAATTATTATTGCTTGAGTGAAGATGTAAGAGAAAAAAAAGTGTTTCACTCTGTGTCTCTGCTCAGGGATCTCAAGCAGTGGGTTATTGCAGAAACTTGTTCACAGAGCGTTTACTAAATTAAAGATTTATTTTTGAAAGTTGTTGTATTTGTATAAATTATGGAGATTTGTAGCCTTTTTCTCCTTTTTGTAATATAAAGATGAACAATGTGCCAGAATAGACTTTTCTTCCCAATGTTGCTTTTTTTCCACAATAAATTTATGGTGTTCTGCTTTTGTTTTTGGTTCCTGTGCAGCTGTTTTTGAAATTGTTTACCTTTCAGATGAATTTATGGTTTAACATTCACTACCATTCAAAAAAACACACATTCCCTTTGCATTCTGTAGCAACATCTACAGTTCTAAGTCACATTTCCGTTATATTCATGTGGGATATTGGACTTAATGGGGTGGTCGTGCATGCTGTGGAACAGGTTTTACAAGGCATTTAAAGTTCCCCCCTGCAAATTTGCTAAAATGTGTCATAAAATCAACTCAAATGGATCCCCTCCGCTTTGATGTTTGAACAACAAAGAAGACGTGTAAATATTCCCATATGGAAGGAGTAGCACAGTGTCTACATATGGCTGGTGTGTTTCGATTACAACCGCCCCCACAATTTAGACCCCGCTGACAAGCAAAAGGGCCCTTCCCTGAGAACGAAGCAGTCTGCCTTGTGATGTTTCTCACATGTCTACATGGAAGGTCTGCTCCCATGATCGGAGCTCACCATGGTGCCCAGCTTTCCTTATTGGATTGGAATGCACAGAGGCTGCCTGCACTGTCCAGTCCAGTTTGAATCTTCTTCTCATAACACAGGTGCGCCTCACTTATCTTGACAAATAATGAAATAGTGAAGCTTGCTGGTTTGTTTGGTTGTGGAGTAAAGCCACAAAGGGAATGTGCTTTTATTTTTTGCTTTACGCCTCCGGAGGCATTTGGCTTTTTCCCATATAATGTTAGATATACTGTTGTCTTGAAAATTATATGCCATTGCTCATAGCTGCAGCTGTAGCAATGCAAACAATTTCACAGACAGTCTTTGACCCGTCCTTAAGGACGCTCTAGGCGTGGTAATGTCCGATGGTCGGCCAACTACTTTGGTCCAGAGTAAATATTCTTAACCTGAATGTGCAAGACGGTTTGTTACACAGAACCATCTAGGGAAGTAGTCATTGGAAACTGGTCATTACGTCATTACACACACCTAGTGTTAAACCTCATCTGTAGCTCATGCTGTAGCTGCCACTAGTTCCTCATAGGACACTGATCGTTCTGGTAGCACTATGAGTAGACACAAAAACATCACTTGAAGCCTGGCCAGAAGGATTCTCACGTGAACTCAAGATTTCATGGTCATGCCTGTCCATTTTTCCTCTAGCACCATCAGCAGGTAAGGTTCTCACTTAAACTGTGAAATATGAAAACGTACTCAATGGATTGTCATAAACCTTTGGTTCCCATGATATACCTGTGATCCCCTGACTTTTCCTCTAGTGCCAAAACTCATTAGGAATTAATTGGAAATATTGGATAACCTGCTAAACTGAGATGTTAGACATTGTAAACATTACCTGCTGAAACCTGCATAACATCAGCATGACGACATTAGCATTTACCTCAAAGCATGTAGAGACCTAGCAACATTTGGGTTGAATATGCATAGATCTGCATCATTTGTGTCGTTTGTCTGAAAGGTGTATTTGTCTTGTGGAAAGTTCATACACATGTTTCACAAACATAGTCTTTGCCCTGTCCTAAAGGTTTTTTATAATACAGTAAATGGACCAATATGTGGGCCATGCAGCTGCATCTCATACAGTTCAAATTCTCTCTGCACAAGTTTAGCTATAATATATAACTGCAGCCATAACATTCATGCTAGCTTTCCTAAAATGAACAAAGCAGATATATGTTGAGCTTATTAGTTTGTTTGGATCTCTGTCAGTGGCCTTTAGACAAACAGTGACGTTTCCAGGCCCTCATATGTCATATTTGCCTTCAGACCTCTCAACACTTGAGTGTTTATGCAGGCATATAATTTTGTCAGTTGCTATTAGTACTGCACATCTGAAATTAGAGTGGTTATGATAAATCAAGTCAAGGACCCTTTCCCATTGATACCATCATCATGTGCAGCAGAATGCCTGGAAATCATCTGAAGAATTACAAATTGATGCTAAGTGATATCATCATACCTCAGATAATAGCCTATAGTACCGGTTCAAATGTGAGTAAAGTAAAATGAGAGATAAAAATGCTTTCTTCCCTTAAGAAATATCATATCACATAAAACTTGATTTCCTGTTCTTATATCAAAATATTGAAATTCCTGTCAGGGCATTAGATAAACCCTGGATTCCCTGTGTCCAGCACCCAAATTAAGAATCTCTGTCTGTCACTCTAAAAACTTATAGTATACTTCATTGCTTTATATGACCTCAAGCATTCAGGAGAGTTGAAGCTGGGAGAAGGGGAATTTTTCTCGTATTAGGCTGTGATCTGGCAAATCTGTCCTCTGTTATCAAGCAAATATTTTGTGGTATGTGCTGATGAACTATCACCACTTTGATCTGAAGTGCCTGAGCCGGGCGCTCACAGCACCCGCCCAGCTTCTTTGGAGTGGACGGCTGTGCGTGATGCTGGGAAGTCCTCCCCTCTGGACCCAATATCCACTGTTATTACTTGATAGAAGAAGCATTAAGATGAGACTCTGCCTCATATTATTGAAGTGTTTTGATGTCCAGAAAGGAAATTGTCTTTCTTTGGCGTTATGTTACTATGCAATATCTACTACTACCGTAGCCCAGTGTAAAAGAAGGTACAGCTTTTAAATACAAAGTGCTTATTAGAACATAGCAAAGTTCACAATGTAGATGATTATTGTGTATTTTGTGTATGAATCAGTACACTGTAGGCAAATGCACTGTAATGGATTTAAAAGCCACACACTATTTTGGAGTTATTGTGTAAAAAGAAACACATGTGGCCAATATTGTGTCAGTCTCTCATACTTCATACCTCTATCAAAATATTAAAATAACTAAAAGAAGTCATTTCTATGTGTGTAATACATTTCTTGACAGATTTATTCAAGAAATTTCCACGCCCTGACCTCAAAACATAGTGGGAAGTTCAGCTAATAATTCAGCCATTGTGGTTAAAAAGCATGTTGGTCTGTTGATTGGTCCACAACTTTGGTCCAGACTGGAGCATCTGGGATTTCCCTAACTTCTCAAAGGATGAATATAATAACTTTGGTAGTCACTTTTGTTATATTGGCACTATGAAGTTGAACATTTGTGGTTTTGAGAGAAATTTGGACATTCATTTCCCCCTGGATGGATTTTCATAACTTTGGTGATCCTTTTCATCTAAAATTTTAATACATCACAAGATACCTACAAAACAAAAGACATTCTTTTCAGCCTCTGCTGTACGTTAAGTTTAAAAAAGCAGTGTATGACCAGTGAGCAAATCTAACTGCAGAAGTATGTGGTAACACATGAAATGTATATTCTACTCGTCTATACCTTGGAAAATATGATACACATACATGCCTATATTATATATGTATTATATTCCAAGCATTAAAGAGTCATAATAAAAGCTTAACACAACCCAAACCCTCCAAATGACAACACATTCATCAAAACTACACTGTCAAATGCTTCAATTTCCGGACTAGATATTCAGCATAATAACACCTCACTGGAATTAGATTTTTATATTATCACTTAAATTAGTGTGTGTGTAGGTGTCTCTGTGTGTGTGTGTGTGTGTGTGGGTGTGTGTGTGTGCGTGCGTGCGTGCGTGCGTGCGTGCGTGCACGTGCGTCTATGTGCAGAGAGAGAGCTTTGGCACACAGCAGGAAATGAACACATTGGGTGGTTCTCTGTCGTCCACGCCATAAATCTTCTCTTCAACACTACAGCACTCTATATTTGGTTTTTAGCCTTCACACCAGCCTACTGACAAGTGGACACAGTATAATATGTGTTTGGAAAATGTCTTCTGAAAAGTTTGAAGCTGAAGTTGCTGATGCATGTGATTCCCAGAACTCAAACTGAGAGTTTCACTGCCAAGACTCGACCAAGTGTCAGTACAGACATGTAGGAATCCTCCAATACCCATTATGAGTTCTGACTAATTGTTGGCGAAAGACTACTCTGTTCTGTTTTCCTGTTTGGACTTAATCCCCACATATAACAGCTACCACATTCAACACACTCACACAGGCTTGTGTGTATAATCTTGTATGGTGCTTGTGCAGGTGTACAATGTTAGCATGAAAAAAGGAGTCGGAGACAAAACCCAGACCCCCGTCTCCCCAAAATGGCCACCCCTGAGGATTTACAGAGCGCTATTAACAGCCAAACCCTTGAGACCTTCCGAACACACCATTTTGTGTGTTTTTTTGCCAGCTGGGACCTTACACATCTCAGGAAATGGCTCCATTTTTTTTACGTCTACACTGACAGAATGTACTTTGTCTTCCTTCTGCCCTCACTGACGTGGAGAAGCAGGAGTGCAGTGTTCTCCAAACTGGAAACTGTGCAATGTGTGTGTGTAGAATTTAGTGCATGTGTGGGTGTGCATATGCCATATGTGTGTGAGGTAGCCAGAGAGGAGGCAGGTGGCCTGTGCGTATCATGGCGTCAGGATTGATTAGTTCCAGATACAGAGACAAGATGTGCAGATCCAGCAGCATACTGTCAAAACAACAGGCTCTTCTCCAAACAGCTGGATTTCCATTTAGACCATCACATGGACTGCATGCATGCTTAGGGGGAAATACTCAATGGAACAATATTTATAGGTAAGTTTTGTGCAATCCAGTGTGGGCTCAGATCTCTTTTGGGCAGTACTTGTTGCCGCCAGAAGATCAGTTTCGTGCAATAGCATGATAGAGAGGAATTATTCATTTGACCTACAGAGATGTGATTCCAGGTGATTCAACACACGCTGACAGCCATAACGGAGGTCCTCAATGATACTAGCTACAATGTGGGTGAATAGAATGTATATCTAAATGTACAACTTGGTTTCATCAATAGTCTTTAACTGCACTGTTTTGACAGGGAATTTGTCAGATTCACTAATCAAATATATCCCAATATGGGGGGTGCCCATTCAAGGGGTTGTAAGATAAATGAAACGGTGCATTCAGAAAGTAAGTGAATTTGGCTGCTGGACTTTGTTAATTTGCCCCAAAACAGGATGGAGACCACTA